TCGATCAATATATGAATTAGATCAGTTTTTCTTCTCTGTTGTTTTCTCCCAAATTCTCAATGGGATCCATGTTTTTACGTTATGGTATCAGAGCGGGTTAACACTCGCTCTGCCTCCGCTGCATCCTCTCTGTTTCTCTTTTCTATCTTTCTTTGTTTTTTTTTTTAATTTCTTGATGGCTTCTGTCAATTCTTCAACTACTAACAGCAATGCAGAAACACAAACTGTGATTGACGAATCTTTGAATCCTTCAAGTCCATATTATTTGCATCCAGGTGAGAATCCTGGAATGATTCTTGTTTCAAAGCAATTGAATGGTATGAATTACCATTCTTGGAGTAAGAGTATGCGCAGAGCTCTTCTTTCAAAAAACAAATTAAAATTCATCACTGGAGCCATCAAATTCCACAAGAAGACGATCCTCTTCATGACTCATGGGAGAGATGCAATGTCATGGTACTCTCTTGGATAACTCAAACTTTAAGTGATCAAATTGCTCAAAGTACTGTATACATTGATAATGCAAGAGATCTTTGGGAAGATCTCAAGGAACGATTCTCAAAAGGAGACCATTTTAGGACTTTTGATCTGCTATAGGAATTGCACTCCATTAAGCAAGGAGAAAGAAGCGTTTCTGAATTCCATACAGATTTCAAAATTTTGTGGGAAGAGTTGGAATCCTTGCATCCCATTCCTAGTTGTACCTGCAATGTTCTTGTGAAGCCTTCAAAATCATTGCTCGTTATCGTGAATCCGAACATGTAATATGTTTTCTGAAGGGATTAAATGACGCCTTCACCACTGCAAAATCTCAAATTCTTTTAATGGAGCATCTCCCAGGAATCAATCGTGTTTTTTCGTTAATTCTGCAACAAGAACGACAATTGGCAGGAGTGAGTCACGTTGATGCCAAAACTCTTTTGACAGCTTCTAATCAAGGACCTATTGCGAATTTTAACAATCAAAGAAATTGGAAAACTCAAGGACGTGGATCTTGGAAGAACCAAGGACGTGGGTGTGGGAGGAATTCCAACTATGGTAAATAGTGTACTTTTTGCAATAAATTGCACCATACTGTTGATGAATGTTATGCCAAACACGGATTCCCTCCATGGTTTAAAAATAACAAAAATGATTCTGTTGTCAACACTGTTATGACTGACAATGTTTTGAAAGAAGAAGAATCAAGTGCACATTGTTCAGAATAGTCAGCTTGACGAGTGAACAAGTTCAACAACTATTAAAACTTCTGCAAGAAAAGAATCAAGACACTACTCATAGGGTCAATCAGCTTTAAAAATAATAATGGTGATCAACAAGACTCCAAAGGTATTCTCTCGCTCATCTTGGATTATAGACACTCGGGCTACTGATCATGTAGCTTACAATAAAAATCATTTTTTAACTTTTACTAAAATCAGACCTGTGCATGTTAAATTACCTAATGGTAATCATGTCATTGTTGAATATGTTGGCACGATTTGTATTTCAAATAGCCTTACACTCTATAATGTTCTTCATATTCCCAATTTTGAATTTAATATAATTTCTGCTCAAAAACTGATTATTGATTCCAATTGTAAATTGATTTTTTCTTCTAACCATTGCTAGATTCAGGATGTTCTTACATTGAAGATGATTGGGCATGCTGATCTGAAAGATGGCTTGTATTGTTTACAGAAACAAGATACTGTTTTTTCTTGGTCTCATATTAATAACATCAGTAATAATAGTTCAATTGTGCCTACTGATGACAACACTAGTATTAATACTCGTAGCAGAAATCATTCCACTTCCAATCTTTGGCACAACAGATTGGGACATCCTTCTAGCAAGATAATTGAAAATATGATTAAAGATTTTCCTTACATTCATAATAGCACTGAAAATATTTGTGATGTATGTCATTCGACCAAGCAACATAAACTTCCCTTTAATAACAGTATTCATGTTTCCAGTACAATTTTTGAAATGATTCATATAGATATATGGGGTCCCATTGGTATTTCTTCTATACATGGTCATAGATATTTTCTTACTATTGTTGATGATTTCTCTAGACACACATGGCTTTTTCTTATGAAGAGTAAACATGAGACTAGGAGTCTATTGAACAATTTTATTATCCTTGTTAAAAACCAATTTGGTTGTAATATTAAAATTTTCAGAACTGACAATGGGAAAGAGTTTTCTTATCTGAATTCTATGATAAAAATGGTATTATTCATCAAACTTCTTGTGTAGAGACACCTCAACAAAATGGAAGGGTAGAGAGGAAGCATCAACACATAATGAATGTCACATGTAGCTTGTTATTTCAAGCCAATCTTCCAAAATGTTTTGGTCCTATGTTGTTGTTCATGCTATCTACCTAATCAACAGGCTGCCAAGTAAAACCATAGGGAACCAATCTCCATTCCAAATTCTGCATAATCAACTTCTTATTCTTAATGATTTAAAAGTGTTTGGTTGTCTTTGCTTCACATCTACAATTCATAACAATTGTACCAAGTTGGATCCTAGATCCAGAAAAAGTGTTTTCCTTGGATATAAACCTGGCACCAAAGGTTATGTGACTCTTGATTTACATTCTAGAGAAATTTCTATATCCAGAAATGTGATATTCTATGAAAATGAATTTCCCTATGTTAAAACTAATATTGTTGATGACACTGATCTTTTCACATTGACTGATTTTCAATTCTTTTCTGATTCTAACAATCTCATACATAAGAAAGTCAGGTCTAATCATGTGCATCCGTTTTCAAATCCTCAAGAGATTTCCTTCCAAGTGACAGAAGAAGATATTTCTAATCGAACACCTAACCAGCCTGCTCCTCGAAGATCTACTAGAATGAGAAAGGCACCATATTATCTGCAGGATTTCCATTGCAATTCCTTAAGTACTGATAGCTCCAACAATTCAGATTCTTATTGCAATCCTTCAAGAGATGACAACACCAACAAATCTAAAAATAGTATCATTTCTTATCCTCTATCTTTTGTTCTCTCTTATAAAAAAATATCTTCAAAACATTTGAAATACATTCTTACTATTTTTAACAATTTTGAACCTACTACTTATAAACAAGCAGCTTGTTACCCTGAATGGATTGATGCTATGTGTAAAGAAATAAAAGCCTTAGAAGAAAATAAGACTTGGTATTTCACTAATCTTCCCCCTGGAAAGAGAACTATAGGTTGTAAATGGGTTTATAAAACCAAATATAAAGTTGATGGTTCTATTGAAAGACATAAGGCTAGACTAGTGGCTAAGGGTTTCACTCAATTAGAAGGAGTAGATTTCTTAGACACTTTTTCTCCTGTTGTTAAAATTACCACTGTTAGACTCATGCTTGTTATTGCAGTTGTTAAGAATTGGCATCTTGTTCAACTAGATGTCAATAATGCCTTCCTTCATGGAGATCTTAATAAGGAAGTGTACATGGATCCCCCCCTGGCGTGATACCTCCTCAAGCAAATCAGGTCTGCCGCTTAACCAAATCCCTCTATGGATTAAAACAGGCTAGTAGGCAGTAGTTTGTCAAATTATCTACTTCTCTTCTTTCAATTGATTTTATACAATCTCAATCTGATCATTCTCTTTTTACAAAGAAAAATGCTTCCTCCTTCACTACTTTACTCATTTATGTAGATGATATAATTCTTGGAGGTGATTCAATTGATGAAATCAACACCGTCAAGCAATTTCTTAATCAACAATTTCAGATTAAAGATTTGGACAACTGAAATATTTCCTTGGCTTAGAAGTTGCTCGTACTACACAAGGCATTCACATTTGTCAACGCAAATACACTCTTGATATCCTTGCTGAGAGTGGTCATCTAGCTGCTCGACCATGTTCTACACCCATTATCAAGGACACCAAATTGTTTTTCGATGATAATGTTGATCTTTGTGATGCAAATGCTTATCACCGCCTTATTGGACGACTTTTATATCTTACAAATACGCGACCAGATATAAGTTTCACTGTTAATTTTCTAAGTCAGTTTAATCAAAAGCCCACTGTGTTCCATCAAGCTGCTGCCAATCGTATACTTCGTTATTTGAAAGCTAATCCTGGTCAAGGTTTGTTTTTCTCTTCCAATTCCAACATTCAATTGAAAGGATTTAGTGATTCAGATCGGGCTTCATGTTTGACAACTCGTCGCTCTACCACTGGATTCTGTATCTTTTTGGGTAATTCGTTGATTTCTTGCCGATCAAAAAAACAACACATTGTTTCTCATTCCTCAACAGAAGCAGAATACAGGGCTCTTGCTATCACCAGCTGCGAGCTTCAATGACTCAATTACTTGCTTCATGATTTCAACATCTCCAAGCCCAATCAAGTTGTCATCTATTGTGATAACCAAACTGCTCGTCACATTGCTACTCATTCTAGCTTTTATGAACGCACCAAACACATTGACATTGATTGTCATGTGATCAGAGATCGTGTGCAGGTCAACCTCTTCCATCTTCTTCCCATTTCCTCTACAAATCAACTTGCAGATGTTTTCACCAAAGCTCTCGATCCTTCACCTTTTCTTAACAATACTTCCAAGCTAGGTGTTCTTAATATTCACTCTCGAGCTTGAGGAGAGACTATTAGTTACATGTGTACCTTTTTCATTTGTTAGTATTGTTTTATGCAGGTTTGACTAACTGCATAATTAACTTTTTTCCTTTTTATATTTAACCTACTTTTCTTCCTCTGTTGTAGTGGGTTTTTTCCTTTTGTATTCTATCAATATATGAATTAGATAAGTTTTTCTTCTCTTTACGTTACTACAAGAATTAAAAATTCTATATCGCACCACCTCAGATTCTTTATTCAATCAGTTGGGCACCGCATCAAAATCAACAAGGCACCGCACTAAATTCAGCCACCAACTTAATTGGTTCTTGTTTCAATTCAATTGAGTGGCTAGTTTCACCACTCCAATTAATATCAAGCTACTTTATTAAAAGTATTGCACTGCACTGCTTCAATTTCAGTCACCAATGAACCTATACTGCCAACCACCTGCTTCAAAATATCTCAGTATCACACGCACCAAATATTCCAGCATTAACAACACTGAACAATAAAAATTATGCACCACCGAGTAAACTAGCAGCTTGTAATCTAATTGAGTAACGGCACAAAGAATGTCACCATACCGCTGAATATTCCAATTTGTAAAAAAAAATAAAATTATAGCAGTTCTACTGCAATATTTAAGAGAGCCACACACTAGTTTCACGGATCAAAATGACTATAAAGCATCAATTTCATTCACTACAGAACCAGTTCGAAGTAAAATGAAAAATAAAATCAATTCAACATCTATGAAGAAAATCTAAACTGAAAACAGAGAAGAAACAATGGAACATAATGGCTTATGTCCCCGAAAAGGCGCCATTTGTCGAACTAGCTCATGTCACGATGAATTTGGACAAAATTCAATCCTCTAATATATTGTAAGGAATGACCGAAGTCATAAGTCAAAATCCAAGAACACAAACTCAAACATTTCATTGCCAAACCATTGATTACAAGTTAATTTTTGGGGGAGATTTTGTTTTAAAATAATGAAACAAAGAACTAAATTGAACTTGAATTCAAAACTGGAAATTGAAATAGGAAAACCGAAAACAACGATCAAAATTTGATATTGAAAGACACAGAAACTGTAATTAGTAATCAAAGCAGAAAAAAAAATAAAAACAGAAACCAATGGCTAGAATTGAAATCAAACAAAATACTGGAATAGAAAATTGAATGGGATATTATAACCGAACAACAACTTGTCAATCGAATTGGAAATTGAAAAAATAGTATATTAATCAAAACAAGAAATCGAAAAAAGAATCGAAAATGAAATGGAAATCAAAATGGAAAGTGAAATGCAGTATAGTAATTGAAAGTCAAAATCAGAAATAAGACTCGAAATTGAATTTGCAGCAAAAATAACTAATAGAAATTGAATTGGAAATATAAAAGCAAAATCGACTCTATGAAATTGAAAACAATCGGCAACACAAAATAGAGATTGAAAGTAAAATTGAAACCAAGAAATAGAATTGAACTTGAAATTGAAAGTAAAATAAAAAAATGTAAACAGATAGTAGAATTGCGCAAACGAAAAGAGTAGAGTGAAATTGGAATTGAAAACTAAATTCAATTGAAATTGTAAAAGCTAAATCAATACAAGAATTACCGAAAACAACGCGGAAAAGAATTGATTTGAAAACAAGAAATTGAGAAAACAGAAAACTTCTTCAACTAGAAAGTGTAGCAAATGTAATGTGCTCAAGTATCTATTGAAAGGAAATATGAATTCAACTCTTTAAAGTCCCCGTATCTAAGGAGGAAAAAAAACTAATGAGTCAGCGCTGATTCAAAATTGGGTTCATACAATACAATACGAAAAAAAATCTAAACTTCTACTATTTATTAAAAATAGGTCTAGAAGCCAAAAAGTATGTTCCATATATCCAAATTTAAGCCCTATATGTAAGGAATCCAACACAAAAAGAATCAACTAAAATGGATATCTATAGAAAAATATATGAACAAAACAATAAGCAAAAGTCAATGCTGAAAAATACAAAAATACAATAGAAAAAATATAGAAAATAGTACCTATTTACAAAAACTCCTTTTTATTACTAAAAATAAAAATACATCCTAAATGTAATAAATAAAGAAAAAGAAAATACTTAAGAAATGCAATAAGGCTATTAAAGTGTGTACAAAATATGAGTCATCAATTAATAGTACCTCTAACTTGCCCTTTAGATTGATCAACCCGTGGTTGGTTAACATTGGGTTGCTCTTCTCTTTGATGGTACTCTCTCACGGTCTAGATCTCCATAGTGTTCTCATTCTCTACTTTGATACCTATGTCTGATCTATACCATTTGTCATGTTTATAATGTTGGATGAATTGGTCCAAGGTGCTTGCTTTGACAAGGTCTTTTATGATTTCCTATACCCTTTTGCATTCCTCCATGTTGTTAGAAAAAGAGGCTGAGATCAAGAGGGGGGTTGAATTGATCTTTAAAAGATTTTCGCAAATTTACAGATTATCTATTTCTCAGATTAGTTCTTGAATCACACAACAAGCAATCAAAAATAAATGCAATGACAGAATTAAAGAAGAGAAAGGTTTAGAAAGATATCACCAAGGTTTATACTGGTTCACCCAATCCCAGGGCTACGTCCAGTCTCCAGCCAAATTCCAGATGGATTCCACTAGATTGAATGTTTTACAGATTACAACCTTAACCTCACACTCAATCTACCACAAGAACCACAATTCCAGTTCCTGCACCTAACCTTTCACCAAGAACCAAATTCCAGTTCTTGACCTACCCTGCAGCCAAATTCCAGCTACAGAAACTAGTGCCCACAATTCCAGGCACCCACAATATAGTAAAAGAAAGTAAAGAAACAAACAGAAGAAACTAAGAACGCTCAAACCAGTTTTATGCAGTTCTGCAATATGTTGTTTCTTCTCCCAAAGAATGCAATTTTGCCTCAAGAAAGAATTCTTATGAACTTCACAAAAGTTAGCGCAAATCTCTCTTGAAAGTATCACTTTCGATTGCTTGATTGATTGCTAAAAGATGTGTATCAGATATATGTTAAAAAAGTTCAAGCAACTCTGTTTTTATAGAAGATTTTCAAAACTGCTGGTTTAATTAATCTGTTAAAATAATCTTTTAATCTGTTAAAAGTCTTGTTTTAATCTGTTAAAACTTCTTTTAATCCATTAAAACGTTCTTGATTAATTTCCAGATTTGTTTTAACTGATACGACAACGTTTATATCAATTAAAACTCTTTGTAAAAAATCTTCTAATTTGTTTTAATCGATTGTTTCGTCTTTTAATCGATTAAAATACTACAAGATATTCTTATAAACTTTTTCAAGTGATTTTAACTGATAAAAATCCATTTTAATCGATTAAAATGCTTGTTCAAATTTTCTTAAGTTGATTTAATCGATTAAAACGTACTTTAATCGATTAAATAATTCTGATCGGTCATAACCCAATTCTGATCGATCATATCTGGTTCTGATCGGTCATAACTCAATTCTGATCGGTCAAATAGTACTCCAAGTGGTTTTAATTGATTATTTCGAAGTTGTATCGATTAAAATACTGCCAGAACACTTCTCTGAACATTTTAAGTGATTTTAATCGGTTATTTCGAAACTGTATCAGTTAAAATACTGACTGAAGGTTTTCAAAACTTCCTTTAATGAAAACAATCGGTTATTTCGAAGTTATATTAGTTAAAATTATGTTATAAAAGTGTGAAGAACATTTTAGTTGATAAAGCTTATATTCTATTAGTTAAAATAGTTGATTAAGAAAGCTTTTGTCAAAATGCTTTGTTTTTAACCGTTAAAACATTTTTTAGAGGCATTTGCAAAATCTTTTAAATGAAGAAACCTCATGCAGCAAAAAGATAAAAATGATTATACCTAAGCGGAGCTGTAGACACACTAATCCTTCTACTCTTTTATCCAAGTGACCTTTGACTGCCACAAAGTAGCCTTTAACTTCATTCTTGACTTCATCAAATCAACAAGATCTTTGCCAAAGTAATTCAATAAGATCTTCATTACTTTCAGTCTCCCCCTATTTGATGAAGACAAACATCACTTTGAAAAATAACTCTGCAGAAGAAGTCACTTGATAAAATAGATTAGTTAAAAAAAAATTATTCATTTCTCCCCCTAAATTGCTGCTCTCCTAAAGAATTATTTCTCCCCCTAAATTAATCAGAAGTAAAGCAATTATTTCTCCCCCTTTTGACTTCATCAAAAATAGGGAACAGAGGAACAACATTATGCATGGTATGTATAGGTATTAGATTTCGAAAACAGTAAAAATATGGATACGATACCTTACTCATGTGAAGACTAATCAAAGTTGATTCAAACTTATCTTCATTAACACGTTTGTAATGAATACAATTAACATGTGTAAAGATAAGGGAATCATGCTTTAGTAGCATGTTACAAGAACAGCCATTAACTAAAGCCTTTAATTTTTCTTCCCAGAGTAAAAATCGATTAAAAACAGGACGAAATCGATTAAAAAGTTCTTGTTAATGGTTTTAATCGATTGAAATTATGTTTTAATCGATTAAAATAGTGATAAAATTTAAAAGTTTGGAACATAAGTTGATTTAATCGATTAAATCGACATTTAATCGATTAAAATGATTTGAAAAATGTTGTATAAGTGCTTTTAATCGATTTAAAGCTTGTTTATATCGATTAAAACAACCAGTTTTGAAAACTAAGAAATGTTTGATGCATCTAAAATGTCTAATTTGTAAAACCGATCATTAGAAAGCTCTGATACCAGCTAAGATGAGTAAGTTTTAACCAATAGAACCATCTAAATCAGGATAGTGTCTTATCTAGCTGATATAAACTAGTTTTAGTTGATTCAAACACATGACATACAGGTTTCAATCGATCAATACGCAAATTAACCGATTATTTTAATGTGAATTACCTATGTAAGTATTCCTTTTAATTGATTTAATCAATTGATTCTATTTTGTATCATCTAAAATTGTTAGAGAATTATGTTTGATTCTATCTAGGCTTTCTTAATTCAACTTAAAACCTATATCATATAAAGCAAAGTTAAAAAGATTATTTCTAGTTTACAACCAGTTAATATTACAGTCCAGCAAACGAAATAAGGCATAAAGAAAAGAAATGAAAGAAGGGAACCCTTGTTTAAACTCAATCATCCCAATTCCCTTGATTGAGCTGCATGTCTTCCAGCTTGGTGTAAATGTCAGCAATCTGGTGTCCAAGATTGGTGAACTGATTATTGGTCTGCTGAAAATGTTGATATGTCATCTGCATGTGCTTTCTTTGGTTTTCCTGCATTGTAGCCATTTGAGAAAGCATTGTCCTTTCAAATTGAGACAGAGGAGTCCCACGGTCAGGCTGCTCCATGTAGGGAATGATCTCCATATTTTCATATGAAGCTTGACCACTGGTAGATTCGGGAACCTCTGCAGCAGCTAGAGAGGAAGGAATTTGACCTTGCTCATCTTCTTCATCATTGTCTTCCTCATCCTCAGACATTCCAGCATCAACCTTAGAAATCCATTCATCATCAATTTTGATATACCCCATTTTTCTCAAAGTGGATTCATCAATCTCATTTGATGCCTTAGGAGTTTCTATGTTTTCCCCTGTAAAATCAACTTCAAAATATCTAAAGAAATTGTTAATCAACATGGCATATGGCAGTTTGTAATCCGCCAACCTTTTTGCCTTCAACATGTGATCTTTAATCACATAAACCCAATTTACCTTAATATTATTAGAGATGCAGTACATGAGGGCAAGATCTCCCTCATTAAGTATAGCATGATTACTCCCTCTTGGAGTAAGCATCCATGCCACAATGAAAGCAAGCAGTCTATGTTCAAGTAAAAGTTTTCCAGCATTTAAAATTCTTACCGAATCATTTGGATCCTTAAGGCAAGACCTAAAAAACTGTATCTTGTTGAAGTCAGGTATTTTAGAAATATTCCCTCTGGACACTTTGACACCTCTATCTCTTAGACCAGCAATTTGTTCCCACACAGAAGGAGTAATTTCCATATTCACTCCCTTCACTTGAGATCTGATTGTTGAACCATTCACTGTTAAATTTGAGTAGAAGACCCGAACCAGATCAGGTTGAATATTCCCTATGAACTCCATGAAGGTTCTCAGCTTTTGACTTTTCAGATTTCTTCTCAAACCCGTAAATCCTTCTTCATCAAGCCACTTAAATTTGATAAATTTTGGAATTACAATCTGCTTTTGACTGAACGCGGTAATGAAGTTGTTCATTTTTCCAATATCACCATCAAACCATGCTTCTAAATGACCACCAGGATTAGCAGCAGAGGAAGATTCCACTTTTTGCTTCTTTCTTGACTTTGATCTCCTCAACATTGTAGACCCCAAATCTTGTCCGACCTCCAAATAAAGACCAGAAGACCTCCTATTTGAAGATGGACAAGCCTAACAAGCCATTAGGAGAGACTATTAGGCCCCATACTAGGATAGAAGGGAGTTTATGTACCAAAAAATAAGTTTTCTCGCTTTGAAGGGACGAGACCGCCTTCTGGACAACCCAGACCGCCGTCTCGCTTCACGTAGGAGGTGAGACTGTCGTCTCGATTAACGAGACGGCGGTCTCGCCACCTGCGAAGGACGAGACGGCGGTCTCGTTCACCCAGACGGCGTTCTCGCCATTTTGACAGGTCGAGACGGCGGTCTCGTTGGACGAGACGACGGTCTCGACCCTGTCAGACGAGACCGGCGATCTCGCCACCTGACAGCGCGAAAACCTATAAATAGGGGCTCTCTCCCCCTCATTTCCACACACCACAGTTGCATAACTCTCCCTTCTCTCTAAAAACTTCTCTCTAGAATCCCTCCGACGCATTTCCGGAGCTTCCAAGTGCTTTCAAGAGTGATTTTCGGCGTTCGAGAGGTTTTCCGACGTCTTGTAGAGTGAAGGGTTGCCATAAAGCACCCTATTTTTTAGAGAATTAATATAAAAAGCGTGCTTCGAAGGTTCTAATTCTCTCCCTTCACCTTTACCGTTTTTATCTTAAATTATGCAATAGATATTAGGGCCATGTAGTCATACTTTTAAATTCCGCAGAATAAAAAGGGCGAAAGTGTATTTTTCTAGTTTATCAATAAAATAAGTCGGCCTGTCATAGGGAACCCGAAAGGGGCGTCGTAAAGGGACTAATACTCCCTTTGCACGTAACCAACTC